CTGAGTTGTGTGTTTATGGTCAGTTCTTCTTTTCAATCCTTTTAATTTCCAATGAGGCGGTGGTGTTGAATATGTACAACTTCGATTATTATAGTCAAACCATATAGTGTCATATGATTCCTTTTCTGGGGAGACACGTAACGCAAGAATTTTTTTCTCCTTTTCCGGGCAAATACTCTACTTATGGAATGGAATGTATGTATATCTTGAACACGTGAATCACAATTAATTTTTCGTCGAACACAACTCAACGTGAAACTATCCAATGCAACGTTTTATATAAGGGAAAATACATTATGAAGAATTTTATCAGTCTTGATGTCCCTTTTCAGATTCCCACGTTTAAATGATTACGCGAATTGAAACAAGCTACAAGTACGAAAGCGCACTTTTACACAGACGTTTTTATGCTGGCTGTCTCGGCCGTGTTTTGCTTAACAGACCTTAACAATTCCATTCCTAATGATAGCCTAATAGTGGCCAAGGGAAAACGACGAAAAAATACAAATGTATCTTTGCAAATCTAAAGAAATAAATACTATTTTATAAAACGTTTGCCAAATGAAAGAGGTTTCATCAGAGATTTGAATTGCTAGTACACTATAGGATCTCTTCCTAAGATTTAAAAGTTAGATTGACAAATAATCTCGCCAGAACACAGTGATAATATGATCTAGGTGTGTAATTCAGTACAGAGAACGTTAACTCGCCTTTGCTCCAACAGTTCCATCACGTCCGTCGCGGCCATCTCTTCCTGAAGAATGCATTTAAACGCAGGAAAGGCATTAATCCACACATGACAATTTGGGTCGTTTGGTATCACTTGGTTTTGATGTTTATATTTATTTACATCACTGTTTTTAGCACTTAAGCTATCCCGCGTATGAAATGAAGCTTTTATGAGCAGATCATTCAACAAAAACTTCAGAATATTCTTTAGAGTTTTCAGTTATGACACTACAAGAAACCAAATAATTGTATGCACTTCTGCAAAAAACAAATTTTCAAATTTTTATTTCTATTGTGGAATTTGTAACTCCCTGTTCAATAGTAGTTTTATTTCTTCCCAAGTCAGTTTTGCACTCCACGAAAATTGAACACTGCAGTATCTTTTCTCCATCAATGTTATCATAAACACGAATCTAGGGGCAACTCTTAGATATCTGAACCCAAACAAAAGTGCGAGTGATGTCTTTGATTGTAACTTCTCTTTTGCAGTTTTTACTTTGCATTAAAATTGCGGATTTCTTAGTGTTCGGCCTGAAGGAATTGGCACGTCGATAAATGTAAATACAATTTCCACCTCAATCTAGATCACCATTCATTCCATTTTTTCAATCTTTTCTGGCTCTAAGAAGACTACGAAGTGGCTACTAAACATTACATTTGAATCAGTGACGATTCATAACACTGGAGAACTTACCATCTCTTCCGCATCCAAGCAGTGGAACAGTTTTACAGTTGTTTTGGCTTCCGGCAGATTCGTTCGCCTGTTTGATTATAATCATTGAATAAAAGAAAGAAGATTTAAGGCAACGTTGCTAAAAATTAGACAACTTTCAGTTCCAGACTACAGAAAATACGGTAAACGGAATATACGGCGACAAGAATACCGGCCAGATTTTCGAAAATAAAGTACCCAAGGCTTACATTTTTAGAAGATTTCCTTTCCGACGTTCCGAACGAACCGACCAAGAAAATGGTCAAAGGCAGCAGGAAGATCAATCGAAACATTTTCTACTATTTTTCAGTGGTTCAGCGGCTCAGACGTAAACTGAAGAAAGTGTTGAATGTATAAAGGGACAAGATTTTTCAAACAATGTTAGCATAATTAGGACATGAATAAACGTGATACCATCCTTTGTTCATTCTGTTTGTCGGACGAACTAAATTCATTGTTAAAAAGATCTTCCATTCACGCCAGGGTTCAAAATTAAAACTTTACTCTGAACAACCTCAAAAACCTGGTTCACCTGCTATGTTATTGTGGGTTAAAATCTCTGTCCTTACTCCCCTTTAAATGTCTTCTTATTATTTAACAAATATTATCCTTGAGCAAATGATTGGCCTCGCATTTACCATTTTTCAATCATATTTTTAAAAGGCACTCATGCAGGAAGTTTATACATACTATTGAAAGCAATTTGCATTTATGAACAAACAAGCGAAAGTCTCGAACTCAGTCGCGGAGTCTGTGTCGAACTCGGACTGACTTGAAAATAAAAAAATAAATGGCAAACTAAAGTGCCTCTATTGAAAATGAATATTTCAGTTTAGTTGTCGGCAATTTGCAGCTCCTAAAGAAATGAACTGTAATCCATGAAATTCTATTCAAATTTGAACTGATGCTTTGTTCACCTCCATCTGCTTTCAGAAACTTGGTGGAAATTCTTTGGACTTGAATGAATAAAACTCGGAATTTGATTTAGTACACGACTAAGCTGAAATGAGAAGTGCGGGGGGTAAAAAGAATCCTAAACTCACGAATTTTTTGACCGGAAGTAAATTCACTCGGTGCCATGTGAACGTCCTCCTTACTTGATATTCAGTTTCTCATTGTTTCCTGTTCTGGCGTCTACACTGTATATATATGCCGTTAACAGAAGAACAAACTGATATTTCGGTATCATGATGATTTTGAATCATGCTGGATCATTATCGTACACCATTTCCACGGTAAGAACAACCAATTACTGCCATTGCGAAACAAAGTTATGGGAAACGAGATTTTGCAAAGGCAGAGGGTCGTAAGACAGAGAAAGGAGAAGGGGATACGCGTCGCCGAACGAGAGGTGGGAGGGTATGTTGGGAGTTGCTGCGTCCGTGTTGGCAGTGGTGTGAAAACAGATGCAACAACTCCCAGCAATGTTGGGACCTGCAGTGCATCGTGGGAAGGGTACGGTAAGGGTAAGAGGAGGAATGAGTTTGTGGAATGGCATGTGGCATGGGTTGCGGAATGACATAATTATGCGGAATGTAATATACACAGAATGACCCAAAGAAATAAATTAAACTGAAAAGTGCCCCTTTTTTGGCGCCAATCAATTTGCAAACGCAGCCGCTGTTTAAAAGTTGCGGGCTCGATATACTATGACAATCACGGCCACGAAGGCTCATTTTCGATTAGCCTTTTCAGCACCGCCACAAATAATCTTCCTGCCTTTATTAGTCGGGCTGCATGGCAGCCGCCGATGCCACATCACGAAAGTCGGACATTGAAGAAAGGATGTTTTCAAGGAAGGTCACGCTCCCTTCTACTTTAATTTTTTCTGCAAAAGATGTTTGGAAGATTAACTTAACAGTTTCCTTTTACCTGTATTTGTATTTGAAAGCACGTGAGAAGTGTTTCTTTTCAGACGGTGGGTTACGTGATCGTGACATAATATTCAGAGATGAAACGGATCTTGTATTTTGTTTCCTGGGCTGCGTGGTTACGTTTCCGGCACGCGAGGCTAACAGCTGGCGGCGAAGGGCGACTTCGAATCCTAGCAATTGAGTATGTGTCTTTTTCTCTTTTTTTTCCTTTCCTACCGTTTTAGCGTTTTTTTTTTACGATCAAACGCACACACTCACATAAACAAGGAAAAGGCGAAGACATGCGGAAAGGCTGAAAGGAGACAGAGAGTAGCTTCAATTTCTGGATTACAGATTAATGTTCGACTCGGGGCGTTCGCTTAGTTTCAAATATGATCTGATTCGTCCACCTTATTACTTAACAATCCCTAGAATTGTAGCTAGCCCGACTTCACGTTCAGCAAACGTTTTTTTTTCCGTCTGGCGTTTTGACATTTGACTATATTGTAATGGTGGGCAGAAAGGGAGAAAGTATTGTTGAAAACAAAAAAAATAAATTTAGTATTAATTAAGTATTACATAGACACGAATGCAGTAAAGCTTATCGCTACTTTCTGCTCTGCCTTGTTGGTTTGAGCCAGCAGTAACCGCATAATTATGTCATCCCGCAAGCCATCCCACATGCCGTTCCTCCTTTTACCCTCACCGGGAAGGGTACAACCCATAAGAATTCGGAGACAATGTGTAATGCGAGTGCGTGGCTTCAACAATGTTGGGAGAGCTGCGCAAACGGATCCAAAATTGTTGCGCTACGCTTCGACGATCACGAAACAAAAGAAATGTTGGGAGATGTTGGCTCAAAAGTTTGACCGGTTTGAAACTTTGTGCACGCCCAACAACATGCAACAAGGTGTACAAACGGAAGCAACACGATCATCCAACAATTTGATGTTAGCCAAGAAAGTTGCGTCCGCTTGCACGGGGCTTTACTTGGCAAAAGAGAAGGAAAGCATGGGATAACTGGCTTAAGTAAGCAAAAGGACTCCGTAAAGTGCTCGACTTATATAAGACGTTTCTGGCCCAGTTTTGTAGGCAGATAGTAAGCAGACAACGGCTCGTCTAGCCTTAAAACGCGTTCATTCCACAAAAGCTGGGTGAATACTTCTTGCATCTAATTGGCAAAGTGTAGAACGACGGTTATTGAAATAACGCTATTCTTGAATGCTTTAGTCGACATTGCTACGTTCATCGATTAGCCAACACAAACTCGCGTTACTTGCATAAGGAATCACGGTTCAAAGCCTATACATTCTTTAACTTTTCTTTCCCTTTTCTGATTGCTCAAGCTGAGCTCATTA